CCACCCTACCCCCCCTTGCAAACCAGCACCTTTTAAAATTCATTGGGCATCAGGCGATCATGCACAATCCATCTGCTTTCACTTTATCATTTGCATTTCATGCCTCCTGGCTTTTGATGTGCTGATACTTTGATGCAGTCAGGAGACGCGCATTATCATTATTTCAATTTTCAAAGGGGTCAACGGGATCGGCACTTGCACACACAGATTTCTTTTTTCCTACAACCTCTGCACACCCCTCCTTTCCTATTCTTCACCCCAATGTTTAACATAAAGGATGAAGACTCAAAAAGGCGGGGGTCAAATGTTTACAGTCTAAAAGCTTGCATATACCACCTACATTTCCACTTTGCACAGGTACACGCATACTCGAGCAAAATAGTCAAGGCTTAAGGAGGTTCTACAGTGTTTTCAGACACACACAAAGACTTTCTCACATATGGATACTCAGGGAGGCACACGGAGAGAGAGGGATCTGGAAACAAGATACAGACACAAAGAGACAAGAGAGACCAGCACTCACGCAGGAAGAGACACGCACTCAAAGTAACCTGCACCACCCATAAGAGACATTACCACAGAAAGAAAAGCACACAGAGATGTTGAAAGATACTAGTACACACAAAGACGAAACATGCAAAGAGTGAGTCAGAGGGAGCAATCTATGCTTGCAGCTTCCGTATAGTTTCCTTTTTCATACTGGATAGGCAAAGGGGCGGATAGGACGTTCTGAATGAATTTGCATGAAATCGGGTGTCTTCCAACAATATGTCTGTGTACTTAAGAGGCACTGACATGAAGACAGTGAAGCAGGCAGAGCAGGATTAGGTAACCTTTATAACTTGATCACTCCCTTCAGCTACAAATGATCATGTCCTTCTGGAAATGAGCATTGTTTGGTAAGTTACAGCTGCAGCTTTCCTTGTCCTTTCCCCTGCAACCACACTTCTCCTTTAACAAGCAGCCCTGCAGGCTAGGAAGAAGGGGAACATAATAAATCTCATCAGAACAATTCAACTAGATTTTAAGAAAAATTCCCTAATGCTTCCTTTATGACACAAATGAAATTCAACTGGCAAGTTTTTAGGCAAAAAACAAAAACCAAACAAACAAAACCCCCCAGCAGTAGTAACAATACCTTTGCTTTGTGTATTATTCTTTGTGTATAACATGTTCATAGGGAGAAAATAAGAAAATGTAATGAAATACCCTTCAGAAATTAGCTCTCTGTCCAGGTATGGGAATACTCGTGTCTTTTTAAATTCCATCTTTACAGATAATCATACCTACAATTCTTTGCGACATTCATCAATATCTCATCCTAAGAAGGTATCCAAAAGAGCAACTTAAAAAAAAAATTAAGACTCTCAGCAGTTTCTCCCACTGCAATAATCTCCTTCAGTAGTGGCAGTTCACAATGTCTATTTTTAAGCTACTCTCCTAAAGAGGAGTGGGGATGCAAGTTTGCCATTTTAGCACAGCTCTGCCTTTCCTTAGAGGGAAAAGCAAGCCCAGAGAAGGATACAGACCTCTTAAGGAATGCAGACAGCAAACTGCATCAGACGATTCTCCTCATTTCTGACATCTCCAAAAGCTAATTGGACCAATGGATATATCCACTTTTAAAAAATGAGGTAACAGGACACTTACTTCCTATCCTTCCACTGCAAAGTCAAGGCTTGATAAAGTTTGCACAAGTCCAGTAAACCCAGTAGTTGATACAATTCAGCGTGCATATAACTCCACAAGATAAATCATCAAATCGTATAAGAGAGAAGAAAAGGGAACTGAAACTGTAATGAGGACCAACACTTTGTGCCAAGTGCTAGGTACTTTTGCTTATGATTTCTCATTTGATCTCCACTGTATCATTTAAGCGTGTAAGTTATTATCCCCCTTTGACAGACAAAGAAAGCTGAGGAGCTGAGAGGTTACATGAGTTGCACAAGGTCAGCCAACCAGTCCCAGACTATTACACATTCTTGGCTCTGGAGAGAAAATAATATTCCTATGTCTGCAGAGAAGTCAGAACTACACTGTCTTTTGTATATTCAGGTATACTTAGTTTTCACTCTTACAAGCGGTGACCTCACCAACCATTTTTTTTTTCCTTTGGAAAAGCCCGTGAGCTTGAATTGAAAAGGCACAAGAATTTCTTTTGAAGGGATGATAAATCTCTGTCATACCCTTTCCCAGAAATCCATCCATGCATCCATCTACCCATCTTTCCATTCAATATTTACCAATTATTTCCTCTATATTCACAAATTTCTCAGAACATTAAAATGATATTGTCAACACATTCAGAAGATGTTTCAGAGACAGCTCCACATCTGGGAATAGATCTCTTCACTTACTCACAGATGAAAGAAAGGGAAGGAGGGTAGAAAAAAAGCATTCAATTAATTCTCTTCCTAGAAAGACACTAGAACGTAAGCCCTTCAGAGCAAGAATTCTACATGGATTGTTCATGAACATATCCACAGGTCCTGGAACAGTGCCTGGCACAGAGTAGGTACTCAAAATACTTGTTGAATACAATGAATGAATGAATGATTAGGTAAGCAAGGCAATGGTCAGGAAAGATGAAGATAGAGGGGAATAGATTCAGGGAGGCATGAACTGAAATGAAAGGCTTCTCCTCAATCAGAATCTTGAATTAAGAATTCACAATCATCTTCATACAGCTTCACACACTTCTCTCAGACTCTAGAAACTTACTTTGTTGAGAGCTCCAGCTCCGGTCAGAATTAAGTGAGAATTTTCAACCTGGATGGTTCTCTGTCCCAGCCGGACAAGGTAAGCTCCAATCCCAATTGCCCGGCATGTAACCTTAAAAAAGAATAAATTAAAGAGAGAGAGAGAGAGAGAGAGAATAAATTCTACATGTCACAGATTTATGTCCCCTCCCAAGCTGTAAGAACTAAGGCACAAATGTATAAAATCTACATTAATAGAAAAAAAAATTGCTTTTTAGAAAGTCTGCTTGATTAATAACAATGTTAAAAAAGCCCCACAATTTCCTGGTCAAAGAAAAGAAGGTACAGAATTCACTGAATTGGACCAAAGGGGATTAGACACAAAGGTTCATAGGCCGTTTATTTCTCTTATACTTCTTCCCATTTCATAGATGCTTGGCATCTATACTAGAGGTAAGAACAAGAAAAGTAGTTAAGAGAAGAAATTCAAGCTATTAAAATTCTCGTAGAATATTTAGAGAAATAAGAAGTTAAACTAAAGGCTAAAATGAGGTGCTAGGTTTTTCTAGGAAATTCATTTACATTATCATGCACAATTAAAATCATATTGTAGATAATTTTTAAGAAATGTTCTCATTTGGGACTGAATGGCAGAGATCGGACCAAAAAAACTCCTAGCCACACAGTCAGTTCTTCAAAAATTTCACATTCTGATAAGATTTACCAAGCTGATGGTGATAATCTCATTATAGGCCAATGAGGATTCTCCAGCAATCATTCCAGAGCCTCGAAGGTTCTCTGCTCCAAGTCCCTCTTCCTTCCCAATAATATCAGTTATCTTGTACCTATTGGATATAGCCATGCCAAATTATAAAGGTTAAACACAAGAACAACAATCCACTAAAAGAATAATCACTATTAAAAGGCTGCTAAAAGCATACTGAAAGCTTATTTAATGCCAGGGCTCTATACTCTTCTTATACTTTTCATTCATGTATCTTTCCTTCTTAGCTTGGTGCCTATTTTCTTCTGGAAGCAATATGGTATAGTGGAAAGAGAAAAATCTGGAATTAAGTAGACAGGTTTAAAACCCTGCTCTGACACATATAGCCATGTAACTCTGGAGATAATAGTAACTTCTGTAAGATGGAGATAATGGTGTCTACCTAAGGGTTGACATGAAAGTTAAATTAAAGGAACAAAGAGAGGGCTTGACACATAGATGGCGCTCTGATTTTAGATGCCCTCTCTTACTTTCTAGAACAAGTTTCTTAAAAGCAGGGCGACTGTATATCTCTCTATAATCAGCAACAGCCATTAAATCAATAATTTTTGATACACGTTACAAAGGAATAAAAAAGTCCAGAGGCATAGTGAGAATGCTCAGGCCAATTTCTCAAGTCAAAAAATCCTTTCTCTTTCCAAGACAGGGATGAAGGGCAAGATCAAAACAGTGCACTCCCATTCCTGCTCTTTGTGAATATCAAGTGCATACACAGAGGGATCCTGGCTCTAGTCTTTTGAATAGAGGGGCAAGTAGAATGTGCATGGAAGTGAAATGCTGGCCAAGTTGTCCAGAAACCATCTTGTAGATCCAGTGGGAGCCACTCGTCTGTCTTCTGGGCAGGGGATTAGGAGTGATAGCTGATAATGGGAAGTGGGAGATGGGGAATGGAACTAATAAAAGAGAGGAAAAATATAAAGTTGGAAGCAGAGATGGGCATATATTATTTACAGTTCTGTGTGTACCCAGAAAGCTTGGCACCAGGCATAGTTTTATAAATTGAAATAATAAATATCCCATAGTGGCTCTTAAACTACTTTTTTGCCCCCATATTTCTCTGTTCCCTTCTTTCCTTACTTCTAACCTTCCACCAATTCTTTTGCTTTGCCCTTGCTGTTGGCCTCTGGCTTTGCATTTCTGCTTCTCAGATTCCCTGGCCTTTCTATTTTTAGCCTCTCCCAGGAATTCTCCATTCTTCCTTTTGCTCTGTATCTAGGCTCTAAATTCTAGAGTTATGTTACAGGTAAAGCTAATCTCCCTTAAGGGGTTAATGAGCCACAATAATTGGAGGGAGGGTTAATGTGTCCTTTCCAGAAGGCTCACATGCTATATAGTCACAAACACTCATGGGCATAGTCAGCCGTCCCTGCAAAGCAGATCTTTTCCCTCCTAAGGATTACATATTGCTTCACAGGTATTCATGACTTGTTAAGTGGCATCTTCTGCCTTTGTATTACATGAAAAAGAATACAAATTTCCCATTTTCTGCTCTATGATCTGAGTCTTCTACTATTGAGACTATCATTCCTTAAAGTAGTACCAAATTTTAATGTTATTTGTAATAAAAATCTTTGTATAGTGTAATATATATATAGTGTATACACTTTGTATAGGGTATATATAGATATACAGATAGATAGTATTTTATATATATATAAAATTTTTGATCCTCACAACAATCCAGTGTGATAGGTAATATCCTCTCCATTATTACATATAATAGCAGCCAGGATTTTTGACTGCTTACTATGTACTCAGTGCTGTGCCAACAACTTTACAAATATTAATTTACTTGATCTTCATCTTACAGATGGGGAAACTAAAACTTAGAGAAGAAAAATGACTTGCTTTAACAAAAAAATATGTAAAATCAATAGCTTTCTAAAATATCAGTAATAAAGAGTTAAAAAATATAATGGGGAGGGAGAATCCCCATCAGAATAGCAAGAAAAGATACAAAATAGGGGTGCCTGAGTGGCTCAGTTGGTTCAAGAGACGTCTGACTCTTAATTTTGGCTCAGGTCATGATCCCAGGGTTGTGGGACTGAGCCCCACATTAGGCTCCATGCTGAACCTGGAGCTGCTTAAGATTCTTTCTCTCTCTTCCTCTGTTCCTCTCCCCTGCTCCCACTCTCTCTCTCTAAAATAAAAAAATTAAAAAT